CGGGTGTGTTTAAGCTTAAAACTGTTGACTTGCTTCTTGTTGCGTATATTTTAAATGGACTGAGAAGTGGGATAAAATTGTAGAGAAACTGGAAATAGATTTGGTATTCTGTATAATACCATGGTCATTCAAATTCTGATTTAGTTTCCAAATCAGTGTATTTTTGTTTTTAAACTCTGTCAGTGAGCAAACGTATTTGGTTGAGCACTTTCCTGTTCTAGGTATCTACACTTACTTTTCTTTGGTTTTTTTCTTGGTTCCTGGGGTTCTGTTTAATCCATGGATTCCAAAATTGTCAACTTCAGTAAGAATTTGAGCTCCCTTTGTAGCTCCAGAGTTCAGTGCACACATTCTGAAAATACTAGGCATCTCTGTGTGCTTTCTTGTTATTTATGTTTTTCGGGTTTTTGTCCTGTGGTGGTTTAAAAAAAAAAAACAGTAATTTAGAAAATTTCATACATTCTGTGCTTTGGTCTTTTACCTGTACATTTAAGAAGGTATGTGTGTTCTTGCAAAGTAGTTACAGAAGTCCAAATGTGTTCTAGTACCTGAGCATGAAAGATCTCTTGAGTGTGGCTTTGTTATTTGTATGATCATGGATTCATGCTGTCTGCAAGAGATAAACCCAAAAGGCACTCATACCAGTTTCTTTTCACATGACTGTGGGGTTCATGCACTCTTCTTTCTTTCTTCTTCATGTGTTTCCGTCTCTAAGTTTATAAAATATAGGAATTATTGGTCCCATCTGAAGTGGGGAAAAAAACCCTAAATAGCTGATGCGTTTTAAATGTTAGAAAGTTAGAACTTTTTTTTTTAAACTGTATTTTTAGTCATGTAGCCTGTCAATGGTGCCGTACTTGGTCTCATGATGCTAGCACCTTGAAACTCAGCTGGAGGTGATGCTATGCAAAGTCAATCCCATCTCCATCAGAAGCTAAAACTTGAGAGAGAAAATGGAGCAGGACAAAAAGGAATGATACAGTAGCACTGTGCTTATTGTTAGAAAATATTCAGACCAGCGTGTTCCAAGTTCCTGCAATAGAAAATATTTTCAAATAGGGCTTACTTGGAGTTTCAGGAGTGAAAGGAAAAAAACACATGAAACAAAAGATGGAACTTGATTTCTTAAACAATGTATTGAGGAGCAGCTTCAAGTCTAACTTGTCGTCATCGTAGTGCCCAAACAAAATCAAGATACAGAAGTTTGGGTTGAATACCGAGATAATTAACACTGTATGACACACTAGTGAAAATCACCTTAGCATTTGCAGATTTAGCTGAAGGAGTTTTGATAAGAATCGCCTAGCTCCAGGCAATACTATTACAATATGAATTTTTAGGAATGTGTGAGGAAGATGGAGCTCTTGCACAGGAGTACAGGGACTTGCAGAGGAACGGGCTTTATTTCAAACAAGAGAAGAATACAGGGAGTCTGGTGAGACAGTTTAGTAATCTTCAGTGATACTGCAACATCAGTTGGAAGGACTGGAGATGGTATCAGAGTTTGTGTAGTTTTAAATATTTCTCTTATGCAGTTAGTAGGCATAAGTGGCTTCCATCCAAAATTGTACAGGTATTTGCGAAGAGTAAGTTGGTTTATTTAACTGGTTCTTTGCAAGCCATTAGTAACGCACGATGTGTAGCAAAGGTTTTACCAAACCTGCCAGAAATAAAAAGGTCACTAACAGAAGTAGTAGGAAAGGGATTTTGTGTATTTTGTCTTTGTTTCTCTTAAAGGCAGTGTTATACTGACATTTCAGTAGTTCGTGTGAACTAGTGAACTCTCTTAAAAGTATTTATTCTCTCTTTGTTACTTATTTCTTTTAGTGTTCTTCCACAATGCATTACCTTTTGTAGGGTTTGGATTTTTGGATAACGCAATTATGATTGCTGCGGTAAGTTCATTACTTAATTCCTTGATCAAGTCAGTAAGATTCCTATTGTTCAAGTACTAAATGAGTAAATGAGAGCTTTGGGAAGACTCTGTTTCCTCTGCATCAGCTCACTAATTTCTATTTTAATTTTTCTTTTTTAAAGAAAATGTCCATACTTGATTCAGCCTTTGCAGAATGCAAAGGAATGTTGTTCCTTCTGAAGGGCAGTATTGGAACTAATTTTAATGACTTGAGAAGAGGCTTGCTTTTTTTTTCCTCTCCTAATTTGTGCTGCAAGACACACTTATGATCATGTGGTCAATACGGGGTTTTTTTGTACCAACTGATGGTAACGTGATTGTAATGTGTTGATGAATAGGTCCTCAGGGTTTTTACTGATGTGTTCCTTTGTTCTGAGTGATGCAGGCAATGTTAGCGCTGATGCCAATTTGTATTGATGTAGCCTGGCATTTCTGAGTAACACTCAGATATTTTCCTGTTCATTTGGAAGATGAAATGGGCTAGTGGAACAGGAAGATGGATGAAGGCCAAAGATACTGTTCCTTATGTAGAATTATCATTGACAGTGTGATCTTAATCATGGGATAATTCAGGTGGAAAGGGACCGCTGGAGCCACTGGGTCTCTAGTCTTGCTCCTGCTCGGGACCTTCTCAGGGTCTCTAGTCTAACCTCCTGCTCAATGCAGGGTCAGCTGTAAGGTCAGATGAAGTTGTTCATGGTTTTGTCCTGTGGGATAAAGAAGAGCCCAGGGCAGACACTGCACAGCCTGTCTGGGCAACCTGTTGCAATGGTCAACTGTCCTCACAGTGGAAAACGTTTTCCTGTACCCAACTGGAGCATGTCTTGTTTTAATGCATGCACATTGTCTCTCATCTTTGGACCATGTAGTGCTGTTTTGTTGTGTGATTTTGTTTCTTCAGCTGAAAAAGGAGCTATGATACTGTGTTTTATTTGTTTGCTCAGTATTTGTAGAAGTTTGTGTTCAGAGCTGTGCAATCAGCCAAGAATTACAGTGGGGAAATGGTATGCAGAGATAGGGATTACAGTTTTGTCCATTGGGTGGCCATTATGAAACAATATAAAATATTAAAAGAATATCAGAAGTAAGTTTTTGTCCTAGGGGGAACTACATATACGAGGAGGGTAGGAGCTGTGCAGATCTAGTAGAATTAATGTCCGTTTATCCTTTCAATCTTAACATAAACAAGCAGTAAGCAATACTTTTGCCAGTTGAATCAATATAATCTATTTTAACTCCAAATCCCTCAAATAATGAGAACTCTTATTTTTCAGGGAACCCAAATAGAGTTGTCAATTGGAGTTGTCCTTGGAATTTCAACTATGGCAGGCAAGTAATAAAAATGCAGTATGTATAGACTTAATACGGCACATACCTATATTCTAGGCTGAAAGTGGGTCACAGGGCTGGAAATGGCTCTTCCTTGGTCTTGCAGCTGCCTTTCCTAATAAAGAAACAACCTGTGGTTGAAGCAAGGACATATTCCATTTGCAGAAATGGAATTGCAGTTCAAATAGCTTTTGAAATGCTTGTTGTCAGTTCTAATCTAAAAGTTCAAATCCTGGGTCACTTAGGAAAATGTATTTGCATTTCTGTGATAGAACTGCTCTAAATTCCCTAGGGTCTGATATTTAGGTATGTGTATATATGTATTTGTAAGTTGCTGTTTGCAGGGCTAAGTGAAGATCAGTGTTGGTGTCCTTTTACTGTGTTGGCCGGTGTTCTTGGTGGCTTCTCTGCCTCCGTGTGATACCACAGGAAGGCCAAGCAGCCACCCTGCTCCTTCACTGGGCCAAAACTGATAAGCTGTGCTCGACAGCTTTGGTGCCTCTGCAATGTCAGAGGAAAAAAAAAACTGTTCATGGATCCACCAACTGCAGGTGCAGCATTGTTTGAAAGCACCAGATACCTTAATTGAAAATGTATATAGCAGAACAAGTTAATCATTTGGAAATTTGCAGCCCTCTGTTGCAATGCAAGACAGTGACAAGCAAGCTTATCTCAATAAGATCTGCTGTGAAATCATGTATTTTAGATGTGTAACTTTATTCAATCATATGTACAGTATTTATTCCTAAACTGACACAGTTCATGGATATGTTGAAATGTTTATCAGAGCTGCATAAGTGAGTAACAGCTTCTATTTCCAGTGCTGCTGTGCCTCTTCAGGCACTGGAAGGCTTTGCTTGGTGTCCAGTGTTAGCTGTATGAAACTGGCAACCACACATGGCCCTTTTTAACTCTGATCTGAAAAGTTGTTACATTGACTTCCAGGTGTCAGTGTTGTCTTTTTGTATTTGTCAAGTTCTCTTCATTTAAGTTGAGAAAAATAGTTGCATGTCCTATTATTTAGTCCACTGCTGCTATTACAAACTGTAATAATGTCAGAAGAAAAACTCTAAAGTAAAAGAAACTTACTTCTAGTATTTTATGCTGTATATACTGAGAAGAGTGAGGGTCACTGGGCAGGGAGGGAGGGGCGCTGGTTGGTTTTGTTTGTAGTGAAAATACTACTTTGACACCTTCTCCCCTTCTCTTCCCTCTTCCTTCCTCCAGCTGCAGCTTTGGGAAACCTTGTTTCAGATTTAGCTGGACTGGGGTATGTCTGAA